ACACTACCGCATTCATTGTCCGCAATTTGAAAGCATACTCATTATGTTTTATCTTCTCAAACTATGAAACTTGCATTCACTCATAACTTCTTTTAACTTATATGCATGATTCGGTTTGATGCGATCGTTGCATTGTTACAATGTGTTTTTTAGTCTTGATTTACAATCGCACAACAATTGCAACTTGATGCAGTTATAGACACTACTGCATCCATAATATTGTCGCCGCATCAAGTGACGCAAGTGATATTGTCAATTTAAAATCATGTTCATTATGTTTTTTCTCAAACTATGAAACTTGCATTTACTCGTAATTTTTTTAACCTATATACATATGATGTGGTCTGATGCAGCCATTGCAGTGTTACGATACAACTTTTGTCTTGATTTATAATTACACCGCAATTGTAACATGATGCAGTTACAGACACTACCGTATCCATAATATTAGGACCGCATCAACTGATGCAAGTGATGTTGTCCGCAATTTAAAATCATGCTCGTTATGTTTTATCTTGTCGAACTATGAAACTTGCACTTACTCAATTTTTTAAAAAATGGAACAGGCGTATCCGGTATTCAGGGAACCACCTCGGTATTCAGAATTGGCAGATCCAAAGCTTGAAGGAAGCTTTCCAATGAGATCATTACATCAAGCAGTGGCAGTAGCAGCAATGTGTCTAAATGAAGAACCATCAGTGAGACCATTGATAAGTGATGTTGTAACAGCTCTTAGTTTCCTTAATCCAATGAGTCAAGATCAACAAGTTTTGTCACCAGTTGATATGCCATCACCAACACAAGATAATAGTGCAACCTTGAGTCTTCTTGACGATGACAGTGCCGTCGAACGACAAAGAGCCGTTGATGAAGCCATTGAATGGGGTTCAAATACTAGGAATAAACCAAGGCTGGACAGTGCTTCATCTATATAAATCCATTACAACAACAATATATACATGTTGATGATTACCATAGTTCTGTTCCTAAGAATGTAGCTCTACATTTGTGGCTTTTTTAAAGTTAAAATATCAATCATGATCAATGCACAAATCAACCAAAAAGAGAAGGAAGTTTCAAGCTACAAAAATTGTATCGAACAGAAGGAAAAAAAATCTCAGGCAAGACTTGCATCTTATACAACAATGATGATTTTAGAGATGAATTTCTTCTCAAAGATGTAAGCACAATAGCATCTTTTACTTATAGATAGTTTTTGTTAAAATAAAGTCAATCAAATCCGGAAAAAAGAAAATTTAGTTTGTGTGACGATAGTAGTCCGAACAAGTTAATATGTAAAACTTAAGTATTTGATAGAAAATTTTAGAAATATATCTGAATAGAATTCATGATTTATAGTTAAAATTGACTACTAAAATTCGATTTGTCAAGAAAGGAAATGTTTTGAAATAAAATGAGAGTTAGTTAGATTAAAAAGTGATTTTAAATTGTGGTTGGCAATCACAATTGCATTTGCAAAATTTCAGATGCGGCTGTCTCCACTGCTGCATCGAACCGCAATTGTGGTGTGATTTTAAAATTACGCCTTCGACTATATTAAAAACTATATCAGACAGTTTTGATTACGATTTTTCAAGTATTTTTATTAAAATTCAAAATATTAGAATCTTAAAACTCAATTTATTTTATATTTAATAAAAAAAACTTAATATTTAAGGATTTTTTAACATTGGATGTCAAACACCTCCTTATATAAATTAACACCGTAACGTCCATAATGCGCATCGCAACAACTTTAATAAAGGTAACTGCAACTTAAATTTAAAATTTTATTTTTATTTTATAATTAATAAAAAATAGATTTAATTGAAATACACTAACAGTGTAAAAGGATTTTACACTGTTAGTGTATTTCGATTAAATCTATTTTTTTATTAATTACAAAATAAAAATAAAAATTTAAATTTAAGTTGCGGTTACAGTCAGTATATTTCAATTAAATCTAGTTTTTACACTGTCAATTAATTATAGACATTAAATATTAAAAAATTTTGATTTTGATTTTAATCACAAAAAAAGTAATGCAAACATATGATGGTGATGAATTGATTGTGTAAAATGTTTTACACTGACCATACATATTAAATAATCGCTAAAAAAACAGTATATAGTAATTAATCGCTAAAAAAATTATGATTAACTGTATATAAAACTATTTTTTAGAATTGTTTCCATCTAAGAATTTTCCATGAATTTAAATATAACTAGAGGAAGACCCGCGCGATATGCGGGATTTTGATGAATTATTTAAATAATATTATATTAATAGATATTGATTTTGTCTAGTATAGAAAAGTTTTTATTAAAGAAAATAAAATGGAGTATTAAAAAGTTACAATTTTAAGTGAAAAAAATACGTTAGAATTATGGATATACAAGATAAGATATCAAAATTAAAATGAAAAATGTGAAATAAGTGTGTTTTTTATTGCTATATTTTTCAGTTATCCATTCAATTTAGATGAGTTATTTTTAAGTAATATTCTAAAATTTAGAATTTAATATATAATTAATTTATAACTTTTACAATTAATTTAATTCATTTGAATTATCTGATTAATTTTAATTATTTATAATTTAACAATATATTATAGGACAATGTTATATAATGAATTATAAATTACAGTTGAAAAGTTACGGTTTAATTTTGTAATATGTATTTGTAATTATAATTCAAAAATAATATATTAGATTGTTAATGCAATGTTCAAATATAAAGACACTCTTATGAATTCCATGGCTTGAAACGGGTTTAAAACAACTGGCAGATATGAAATAGAGGTGTATCAGATGTTTAGAGGGATCAAACAAAAAATTGGTTGGAGAAATTCTTTTTACGGTAATATTGCTAGGTCAAAAGCGGCGTTCACTCTTTGGATAGCATGGCAGGGTAGATTTCTCACAAATGATCGGTTATTCAGGTTTAGAATAACTATCGATAGTAAATGTGTGTATTGTAATCTTTTAGAAAATTGTGATCATCTCTTTTTTGAATGTGAAGTGACCAAATTTTTTTGAAAACAAGTCCTACGTTGGTTTAATGTCTCTCATATTCTAAAAGGTTGGGGTTAGGGCTGGACAACGGGTCAGGTTGGGCGGGTTCGGGCTCAAAACCTCCACCCAATCCAAACTGCGGGTAGTAATAACAGACTCATTTTCGTCAGATTCGAGAGTCGGTTTAGACGGGTTTGACTTAGACGGGTTCGGGTTAATGCGGACGGGTATTTCGGGTTAATTGACTTATCCAATTTCACGACTCACCAATATTGACTAGTTGGTTCCATCATTTATCATGAGCCTAAATACACATAACTTATGTATAGTCAAGACATTATAAACTAACAGTATGCTCTAACAGGTTTACAATGAAGTTTCCACTGTGAAGTTTTCTGGACAACTTTGAAAAGTGTTTATCACCAACCATACAAATTGGACACGATGGATCATACTTATCTGCCTCTGCAGTCATAGTCTCTAAACATTCAGCATGAAATGTATGACCGCATATTAGTACTGTTGTACAGCTACAATGGAGAGATCATTGTTGGCAACAAACTTCAGGTTGCTCCATGCTGATTTGTCAGACAAAAGCCTTGTGCAAGCTCCACAAGATTGTAGATCCATGGATGGTGAAAATGACAGCCTGCTACTGGATCCACTAATCTTTTGACGACCTGAGCCTAAACACTCACTGTCAAAAGACCATCTTCCCCTTTGTGAGGCCACCAGCTCAGAAAAGGTGTGCATCGACCAGCCATCAGAAGATCCACATTGGGATGTAGCTTCAATTTTGTTGCTGCAAGCGGATAGTACAAATGATACCCTCCCTTCATAAAAGGCAGAATCAGAATGTCAATAAGCAATATCTAGGACAATTAAACAAAATGAACCAAGTTTTAAAACATTATACTGGATGGGAAATATCAAAAGAAAAGGATAAAAACAAAGATTAAAATAATAACTTGCAGGAAACTTGAGCAATCATAGAATCGTGTACATCTCTAACTCAATGTATGCTTATTTGTAAATGACGAGTATGTTGTAATATAGTCGTAATTACGCATACTCAAGCTTCATTTTAAATGCTATTGTTGGTGACATATCTCCACTATGCATATAAAAATTTATCAGATTAAATGCATGAATCATGGCGTTATGTGGCCTAGAAAGAGGCAGAAATATTGTATAACTATCATGTTAAAAGCAATTGTTTATAACGCGAGTAGACATGTTATACAATCATTATGCAAACACATCAAATAAGCATACCCATTTTGAACAGGCCTAACATGACAGACGACACAGGTAACAAGAGTAGAAAGATTGGTGTAATAAATCAATTACTTCATGCAGACAGAGAAAATGTTCACTAAATTTTAAAATTAATACATTAAGAAAGGAAGGAAGATAAAATAAGTGCTTCTTGAACTAAGATAAAGTACATAGCTTTCTCAACCTTGCTCTCATCTAGACGCTGCTTCAAATTGAAGGGAAGAAAAACTCAGTTAAGTTTGAAACCAAGTGTGAAGAACAGTAAAATTAGCTTACATTATTCAATGATGATCCTCTAACTCGACAACCCCCCTATTTATATATGATGAACCTAACTAACGCATTAACTAATAACTTCATAGACTAATTCATTGTTTCATTTCCTAACAAACTCCTCTGTATCCTATATTCTAGTGCATTTTCTCATCGAATACCGAGCTATGGGGCATATACAAAATTTGAGCACATTAAAAAGGTAAGTATAGATTTTATAGATTTTATCAAATCAAGCTGTAACTGCAACATATTTCAGGCACTACAGCATATTTCAGGCCAGTTTTCATTCTATAACTGCAACATATTTCAAGTTGTAACTGCAGCATATTTCTCTGCATCTCTGTATCATCAGCGTGATTATTCTTCAAAGCAGTAACTGCAACATCAAGCTGGTTGATTCTTTCGGTCAAAGCACTACAGCATATATCAGGCTAGTTTTGATTCTCAGTCCAAGCCAATTCATTCTGAAGGCACAAAAGATCCTTTTCCAGTTCATCGATTTCAGTATCCGCTTTGGTGATCAAAATTCTCAAAACCTGAACACAGGATTCTGCATTCAAGGCACCTTCTTCAATCACATCTGTAAAACTCAATATAAAGCAAGAATAAACACAAAACACCAAACCAAACAAAATACAGGGTGAGTAAGTATAAGAATTAATACCACAGCCACCGCCACAGCCAAAGTAATCACAGTGACACTTGAGAATCTCGGAGTAATCACCATCATAGGAAACTAACACAGCAAACATGCCAAAATAGAAAGGGAAACAAATTAAAAGAATTTCAATCAACTGAATAAACCATTCTTCACTGAACACAGCAACCGATATACCAAATTGAAAAAAAGAAAGATGACGACAAAATAAGAAACCTATATCAGAAGATGAACTCCATAGATCCCAATCCATGAAATGCAAGTAACTATATGAGAATATTCCCATGGATTATCATAACTATAACTATAACTGTAAGGTGTCCCTTACCGCGACGGCGCAGTGATGTAGTATGCAATACCACCAACAGGAATTAAATGACCACCACCATATCCCTAATAGGTTTACAATGAAGTTTCCACTAAACTTCTGGTGGAGAAGCTGAACAAAACCAGTAAGATTAGATTGTTAACAGAAAAACAACTATATTAAACCCAATCTATGATTTTATTTATGATGGCATATTTTTATTCCTAAATTTACCTGCAGCCCATTTACCAAATTATTACTGCTGCACAAAATCTCAAAATTCAAAGGACAAAATATAAATATATATTCTTCGATTCAGTAGTTATATATATATATATATATATATATATATATATATATATATATATATATATATATATATATATATATATATATATATATATATATATATATATATATATATATATATATATATATATATATATATATATATATATATATATATATATATATATATATATATATATATATATATATATATATATATATATATATATATATATATATTATATGACTCCAAAAAATCAAAAAACACAGTTGACCTGAAAAATTGGACAACATAAACATTAGTTATAAAAAAAAATAAAGTAATAAACTAAATATGATATACATACATCCATTTCAAGCACAACTAGAAGGTTGTGGCTAAGGCTGTGATGATGAGACACATGATCCTCCCCTTGCTGCTGAGGACATTTGTTGAAACTCTAAAATAATGAAAAAAAATATTTTTTAGAAAGACATAATTATATAACAATAGAATATCTTATATATTCAAAATGAATTAATAAATTGACATGTTACAATATCTTCTGAAAGCTCAAAATCTTCCATGAGGTTCATATCTTTGAAATAGGTTAAAGAAGGCCTTAACCAATTCTTGGTGCAAATTAAAGCTTCTGCCATTTCAGCAGTTAGAGAGCTCCTATAGGTTTCTATGACCCTCCCTCCTGTGCTAAAAGCACTTTCAGAAGCAACGGTAGAAACTGGTGTGGCTAAAATATAGTCATTGTAGATAAAATAGGATATTCGGCTGAATTGCGTTTCCACCACACAAGAATGTCAAAGTTAGGATCCCTTTTAACACACTTACTAGAATTATACCCCTCAAGCTCATTTTGTTGATCAATAGAGATTTGTTCCTCTAAATGTTGCTCAAAAGTATCAGCTCTAGCCATAATGGATGAGCGGGCAGCACCTACAGTTGTTTCGTCATTGGAGACATTATTTCCACCACTACCAAAAGGGTGTGTGGAATTATGTTTTTGGTCATAAGCTTGCTTATACCAATCATACAACTTTTGTAAATCCTGTTTTATAGATTTTACCAAGTCACAACCATACTTCGATCCAACTTCGTACATGTCCTTAAACGTCCACTCAATGTAACTCAACTTGTATCTTGGATCAAGAATAATACTAAAATATATCATCTTGTTCATCTTATCAACATTCCCCCAATATCTATTATACTTTTCCATCATATCCCCACCTACACTTGAAAAAAAATCATTTAAGTTCATTGTAGCTTGTTTTAACTCACAATAAATGGCAGACACTTAGTGAAAACAAGTATGCAGACTCACACTTTGAGAGGTGGAAAAAATCTTAGTTGCTTCGTAGAATAACTTTATAAAAGCACCAAAAGCCCTAGCAGTGTCCCAATCATCACTACTAAGGGGATTACCTTTTCCAAAGAATTCCCTATAACTCGACTCTTCATCCTCAAGCTTTTCAAAAGCGAGTTGAAACTTCTCTGCAGCCTCTAGCATTAAATATGTCGCGTTCCAACGAGTTGAAACATCAAGACATACTAATTTTTTGCAAGTTATCCCAGCAAATTCACTGCATTCTTTAAACTTGGTTGCCCTATGAGGTGAGGACTTAACAAATCTAACAGCATCCCTAACACTAGTAACAGATAAATGTTTATCTTTCAAACCCTCATTTACCACCAAGTTCAAAATGTGAGCAGAACACCTCATATGAAAACACTCTCCATCCTCCATAAACCCATTCATATTTGCAACCTTTTTCTTTAGATATGTCACAACAACATCATTGGAAGTGGCATTATCCACATTTATGGTTGACACATTTCTGATTCCCCAATCCCTCAACACTTCTTCAATCTCCCTACCAACAGTTTCACCCTTGTGGTTTGGAATTATGGCGAAGCTTATAATTCTTTTTTGATACTTCCAATCGTTATCCACAAAGTGTGCCGTAAGGGTCAAGTAATTGAGATTTTGTATAGAAGTCCAACAATCAGTAGTAAGTGCTACCCTATTGCAGTCAGACTTAAAAAAGGCCTTTAACTTTTGTTTTTCATCCAAGTGTAGCTGAAAATAGTCCCTAGCTACCGTACGCCTAGATGGGATAGTAAATTGGGGTTGCATTACTTTAGAATAAAATTTAAACCCTTCACCCTCTATTGCACTAAATGGTTGCTCATCTAGAACTACAAAAACAAACAATGGACTTCTACAAGCTTTCTTGTCAAACCTAGAACTAACTTGAACCAAGTTACCATCTACAGTTGGGTATGTTAGAATAGTTTGTGTGGGGCTAGTTGACACAACAAAGGGCTTCTTAGGACATTTTAAAATATGATGGTTCAGGTTGGTGGTGTCGTGAGTCCTAGGGTCACACAAGTATTTGTTATGGCAGTGTTTGTAGGCTGCAATGGGTGCATCAACAAGGTCATCAGGTAATCTAACAAAGTGTTCCCAGCAAGCAGATGATTGCCTAGAACCACTTGTGTAACACCCCACTTCCCAAAATTCAAACAAAACACAATTATTTCACATAAACATCAGATTTCCTCCCTAAAAGTGGGATATCACATTCATAAAATTCAACAAAACACTTCATTAGATGTTTTCAAAATAAACAGCAAAAATAATCATTAATTCAACATTCTCGGCCATCCGCCGAATTACATAAAGTCGTTCATCATCAAGGCTCACCAAAATATGATACGTCACAGGAATACAACAAATCCAATCATAATAAAAGTAAACACCCAAGTCTCGTGTTACGTATCAGAGCATCCTAAGACTCGACCTGCACACCACTATCCAAGCCCCCTATGTACCTAGATTATCTGTACTTCCGAAGAAGCACAAACCACCACAACAACAAAGGGGTGAGAAAACATGATCAAAATTATCGGTAATAAGATACATGAAATAAAGGTAGCAATTATATAAAATATCACCCATCACGCACCAACCACGACCTACTGTCCAACATCAAACACAACATACAATAATGCAAAATGCAACTCAACACCATGCATGCGGTACGGATGAATCGCATACACTCCTCCTGAGCAACGATTCATCCCACCATCCTCCACAAAGGAGTACGGATGGATCGCATACACTCCTCCTGAGCAACGGTGTAACGCCCCAAATTCTGAATTTCCCATTTTTGTTGAGTCCTTTTTAATTCATTTGGATGATTAGTATTTTAATTGTGGAATTTATGTGTTGATATGTTTAATTTCAATATTGTGCTGTTTTACCGATTCAGAGAGTTTTCGGGGAAAATAGAGTAAAGGATATTTTAGACATTTAGTATTAAGTGTTAAGTGGATTATTGTGTGAGAATTAATTGGTAAGTGTTTGGAAAGAAATGGAGAGGAAAGAAAATAGAACATGAGATAAGAGAGAAAAGGAAATAGATAGAAACATTAGTGGAAAAACAAGGGAAAGAAAGAAGAGAGAAGAGAAAGAGGAGAAAGAAGAGGAAAACCTAGAATTTCATCAAGGATCAACATCCAAGCTTTCAATCAATCGGGTAAGGGTGTGAAACTCTATTATACTATTAATGTGTATGATTATGTATGTTGTTGATTGTTTGATGTTGGATTGAGAAGAGTTTATGCTTATTTCCATCTTAGGGCAATATTAGGATTTAATCGGTAGAATATGGTTTTAACCGGTTAGAATCTAGAAATGGATGGAGTAGGATAGTCGGGTGTTATTGGGTTGAACTTACTGGGGTTGTTTGCCTTTAGAATCGGTCTGTTTATGAAGTTTGGGCTTTGGGCAGCCATGGAGGTTCTTAGTTCGCAGGCTCGCCAGGCGAACGGCAGCGAAGCTTCGCCAGGCGAAGCCCAGCGAGCAACAGTGAACTGAGTCAGAAGCATCCACCCTGTCTTCGTTGGCAAGTTCGCCAGGCGAATGAGAATGGCGAAGGTTCGCCAGGCTAGTGTGCTGGCGAGTGCTAGCGAGTAATTCCAAAATAACTCCCAGTGGTCTTCGCTGGCAAGTTCGCCAGGCGAACTAAGTAGCGAAGGTTCGCCAGAGGCTTCGCTAGGAGAAGGTTGGCGAATGCGACAACATTTTCCTATTTTCTGTGTTTTCCCTTTTCATGCGGATTTCTTTGTTCAAGTTATGTTTAATCCTTATCGAATTGAATAGTTTTGTGTGCAGTGTGGTATGTTATGTTGTGGATAGCCGCAAGGCGTGAATCCTAGAATGTGGAATTTTGATTGAAAATATATGCCTTATATGGAATGGTATATGTTGAAATGAAGAGTATGTGTATATTATGGAGTATAAGTATATTGTGAATGTGCATAGATCGTATGTGCTTGTATGAGATGAATATGCATGGTGATATATTTGCGAATATGTATGCATGTAGAGTAATGTTGTGAGTCATTTTGCATAAAGGCATCATGATGTACATCCTAGCGATGTTGATTCCTTGGAGAATCTGCTGAACATTTGATTCCTCGAAGAATCTGCAGAGTATTTGATTCCTCGGAGAATCTGCTGAATATTCGATTCCTCGGAGAATCTGATGAATATTTGATTCCTTGGAGAATCTGCTGAATACTTGATTCCTTGGAGAATCTACTGAATTGAGTCGGTACCGCATTTGCATCTGCATAGAGTCGTGAGTCGGTCTCT